ACTTATTTTTAAATGAAAAATAAATAAGTATTTTGTAATAAGTCATAAATGTTTTAATAATATTGTGTTATTATAATAATATTAAAAAATAATTAAATTTTTTGAGTTAAGAAAATTTTTCAAACGAAAAATAATTGGAAAGTGTTTCTATGCCAAAAAGACCAAAAATATATAGATATCCGACAAACTTTTGTGACTTACGCATATTTTTAATCGCAAAATTTTCCTTACATACATAAAGGAGGAGGGTCCCTAAAGCCGGTTTTTGGCATCCTCTGAAATTAAACCAAAAATATCAGAAACGTTATATTTTTGTAAAATCTATTGAAATAAAGTGATTTTAGTCTAAACGGATATATTGTGATGCCTGTTTATACTATAATTCTAATTAATCCCATTTTTACCACCAACGCTCTTATGTTACCTACATATCATTTCCATACATATCTGCCGTGTAATGTGATGTAAATCCTATTGGCAGCCAAATACAAATATTTCATTCCATAGGTATATATGCGTATATTTTTTGATATTATTTTATCATTCAATCAACTTGTTTACTCTTAAGTTTTCTAATGGGAGTGTACGATGGAGCGCCACCCAAAGATCGTGCTATCTTTCCCTCGCGTTTCGACCGTCAGTGCTGCTTCCAGATAGTATATATTTCAGTGAATCTCAACATGACATTATGGCACAATAATTAACCTATAAAAAAAGGATCCATATCCAAAGAGCAGTATGATTAAAAAAAAAACATATTGCCAAATATCTACACAAATAGTGTTTTCGCAGTATCGGGCGCACGCACACACACGCACGCACACACACGCACGCACACACATACACATGCACATACACACACATAGAAATATAAGGAGATGATATGTAGGTAACATAAGAGCGTTGGTGATAAAAATGGGATTGATTAGAATTATAGTATAAGCAGGCACCAAAATATGTCCGTTTAGAATAAAATCATTTTATTTCAATAGTTCTTACAAAAATATAACGTTTCTGATATTTTTAGGTCAATTTCAGAAGGTGCCAAAAATCGGCCTTAGGGACCCTTCTCTTTATTCTGTTAATTTTGTTAAACAAACATGTGTTATAGTAAGTTTAAATTTAGATGAATCTAAACCGGAGAGGACATTTGTATTATTTTTACTACATTAATAAAAAAATTTTTAACTGTTACTGACGTTATTATATTTAATATAAGATTTGTTTATTTTATAAAATTTCAACATGTACATATTATAACGTTTCAACAACAGCAAATGTAGCGTCTCAAAAATTTCAAATGAATTTTTATCTCATTTGCAAAAATAGATTGCTTACATAATCCTATTTTTTCCTAGGAAATAGAAATTATTTCATAATGTCAAGTCGCATACAATATTCAGGCTATTGTGTAGTCATTATTGTACAAAGATATTTTATTTAATCTAAATATAAAATGAACATCGAAACACAAAAATAAGGAAAATATTGAATAGAGCAAATAGAATATGTTTTCCACGTATACGGGACTTTAATTATTTGGAAGATTAGAATAGATCCCAATTAAATCCCAGAAAATTTTCTATAGTTAAGATACGAATGGGAGTCCCAATTGGTATTGCAATACGATACAACTATTTGGAGCAAATTTAGATAATCTGGTTAGAATCTATACAATATTTGGGGAAGTTTAGGAAATTTGATACACAGAGAAGAATCTATAATTATTTTGAGGAATTGAACTGGATTCCTCCCAATTAGATATTCCAAGAAATTTTCTATGCGTCCGATCTCATGTCGATTCTATAAGACCTCACGTTTCGATGATGGCTTTCGCCGTCTTCGAGCGCATCAATCTTGTCGAGACGAATGCGCTGTTTTCAGTTGCGCGGGAAGCGCCGCTCATCACCACGTGGTGCCTCGCCATGCAACGGAAAAAGCTCCGGGGCCGCAAGGACAGGTTTTGCGTCTTAAAAATTTTGCTTACACACTAGGACGAAGACAACGACGACGAGAATCGTAGACTTTATACGATGCAATAAATGAAAGAACGAATTCGCAACAAATTATCGTTGCAAGATAACCCCACGATAAGATAAAAAAGAGATAAGAGATAACCCTTGATAAGAAAAAGATTTCCTTAAGAGTGAGATCTCGTTAACAATCAGAAAACGGTCATCACAACAAATTCCACATCGTCAATGCTTTTCTATTCTTCTTCTTGCGTGATAAGCACACATCCTTCTATATTCAAAGCTATCATCATACATTTCCTAGAAATTTCGTAGAAAGTGGAGCTCGAAGGATTGCAGACAAAGACTCACGACTTAACACCTTCTAAGGTACATCGTAGTGTATGCGTGCCAGAAACGGAGTCACAGAGACGTACCTGAACGCCGACGAGGCCACCGCATCGGCCGAGAATGAGAAAGAGTGACAAAGAGGGGAAGGGAAGAGAATCTCTTACCTCTGCTACCTTTTCTTCTGTTTCTTCCTCTGCCTTTTACGGATTTAGAGATATGTGCTCGCCGATCGTCAAATCTCGTCGCATAAATTTTTTCCACATCCTCGCGCTTGTATACCTCCCTCCTTCCCTCTATCTATCTCTCTATCTTGCCTTGTCCTCTCTCTGAGCGCCACATACTAGACTTCCGTCGATTTTCGCAGTCAAAAGCGTTCCCGCTTGACCTCGTGTGATCGAAATCTGGCGACCTGGTGGGAATCATTGTACATTTGTTCACTCAGTTAGCCCGAGAGAAATAAATTGCAATAGTATGGTTTAATTGCGGAAGATGCTCGTGAATGTAGCGTTAAGACATTCTTTAAGCGAAACGAGTGGACAATTCTATAGAACCTGTGGCATTGAAATAATTCTTTCAATTTCAAAGACATTTTCTTCACCTTTCTACAATAATGACGATAATAAATAAATACTACAAAACATAATCTAGACGTTTCGTAAAATTGTTCAATTTAAAATGTTATAGTCGTCGAATCCTATCGGAATATTTATTCAGAGAATGTTTACGGACATATTCGTCATTGCTGAAATACTTTTAGTAATCGAATTAACGAGCGGACTTGAGATCGTGGGATTGCAGGACCAAGGAACGTTATTGAGAATGGGACAGAAAGAGAGAGAAAAAGAGAAAAACAGTTTTTCAAGCGATATACCATAAATGGTGGGAGACAAAGCTGACTCTAAATGGCCGCGATGCCACGTATACGCTCGTGCACATAAATTCTGACGTAGCTCATGCCGGCTATCTTTTCAACGAAATATCATTTCTCTTTTTTTGTTTGTTTTATTATTTTTATTCTTTACATTTCACGCACGTTTCATTTATTGATAAGCATCTTATCAAACACAAGTATATTATTAGTAATTCAATTATCGGTTCACGTTCAATCACTGGGACGTTTACCTTAATGTTTCTTTTGAGAAATCGAATTAGATCCCACAAAAATCCTGCTCCCGGATAGAAGACATAGGAGTTTTTACGCGAACTGACAAAATTTTAATTTTGAAATATTTACTTATAAACTCACTTTTATTTATTAAAAATATTAAAATAAAGTAATTAAGTTAATATTTACTTACAAATTATTTGTATTTTAGAAAAAATAATAACGCGCAATTTAATAATTATTACTTACAATATGATTATATGCTATTTCTTGTTAATCTATATTAGAAAAGAAATCCACATACCATATAATATCGGAAGAGAACATAAACTTTACGATAAAATTTGACGAACGGAAGAAGGAAAGAATAAGAGATTCTTAAATTTTAAATTACGTGTGACGTGATTATTGAATAGCCTTTTATATTTGTATTCCAAATATAAAAAAACATTAATATTACGTTGAACATTCAAATATATTGTAGTTATGTACAATTGACAGTCAGTATTACAAAAATAGCTATACAATAAGCTCTATTAAAAAAAAACCTTATATTTCTATATATCATAATTTTAAAAGTATTAATTATTATTTTGTTATCTCTGTATTCCCTTATTTGTTTTTACTCTCTACACAACTTCTCTTCTGTCTTTGGGTTTCTCACATAAAATTGCAGCTTTAATTATTTGAAAAAATTGGAATAAATCTCAAATAATTCCAGAAAGTTTTTTTTATAAATGATAAAAATAACATTTTCAATTGGCATTACAATATGGTATACTTATTTGGAATAAGTTTGGGTAAACTAATTGGGATCTATATTATACTTGAAAATTTCCACATGAATAGTGTGGAAATAAGATTGTGATGGACAAATTATCGATGTTAACTAAAATTTAATATGTACGGGTTTATCGGAACAATGAGTAGAAGAACCATTTCGCACAATAAATTCGCTTTTCCCGTAATGTTTACTTCTTCGGCGATCTCGTCTCGTCTCTGTGTGTTGCCTCGTCATCTCGGTTTATATCTCGATTATCACGAACGCGATCGTTAATACAAATAATAATACCAGAGTTATACATTTTGAACGCTTGTACAAAATATTTTTCCTACACTCAGCCGTCCTGATTGAACAATCACTTTGAGTGTTCACACACCTCGCATTCGGCTTCGCTATCGAGCGGATCGTTATCATTGGAGCCTATCCAAGGCTTCATTAAATCAGCAGCCGATGCCGTTTGCAGAGGTCCCTTATGTTCGCCAATTATATGCACCAGATATCGATCGTTACATAGAATTTTGGTAACCTCGTAGAGTCCAAGATACTTATGAGATATCTTTAATCCTAGGTCTCGCTGAGTTCGCCTAATTGCGATGAGGTCACCCTCACGATAACATAATGCCTTCTTTCTCGCCTTATTGTAGCTCTTTCTATTCTCGTCTTATCGTAGCTCTTTCTATTCTCTTGCTGTACTTTCGCGATATTCTCTGTCGCCCGTCTTCTCAGCTCATCTCGGTCAGTTTGGAATAAATTAATCTCCTCATGTTGCAAAAAAGCTCATATGTCAAGGTCGTCACGAATGCGCAGATTGACACCGAACAAAAGAAGAAATGACGCCATGCCAATGCTTCTATTCAACGTAGTATTCAAACATTGCTGCGCCGTATTCAAATGTTTGTACCACTCGTCAGCTTTTGGAGCGGACAACTTCGTCAGTAGCGGGATTAACGTCCGGTTGACCCTTTCAACTTGTCCGTTACCTTGTGATAATAATCAGAGGATGTTCAATGCCTTCATGCCGACAATATTCCTCGAACTCCTTGGAAGTAAACGCGGCGTTCCTATCCGAAATTATTCTTCTAGGGTTCCAAAAAATAGCAGACTATTTTTTCAATCGATCTCTCACCTCCGCGGTGCCCATTGATCTAGGATGCGTTCGGGGAGCACGCTACTAACGCTACCGCGTTCTTCTATCTTTATTGTTCCTTAGATATACAACAAAGATAGAATGACATTGATAGCGCTGAATAGCGCTAATAGCGAGTTCCCCGAACGTACCTCTAGTCGCGTACAACCACACAAATTTGGAGAAAACATCAACAACAATGAAAACAATGGGCATAGCTTTTCTTTGACGGCAACAGACAAAAAAAATGATCAATATGGAGAGTATCTAATGGTACATCTCCTTTCTCAATAGAGTTGAGCATACCTTCCTGCTTCCCTTGCTTCCGTTCGCGACGCGATTACGTATGGCCATTTCTACCTTAGATCGCAACCCCGGAATCCAATAATCATTGCACAGCAGCGCTTCCGTTTTAGCGGCCGCAAAATGTCTTCATGTACTTTTCGTATTATCTGCATTTGTATTAAATTAAACATAACAAGGCGTGACTCATCCTCAACCTCCTTATACAGGAGTCCTCCTCGCAAAGCATAATTGTTTGCTCGTCCTTATCTCACAGAGTCCGAAATCCATCTCATCTCGTCGTCTCCTTGTTGAGCTTTCTTGAAACGAGCCATCAATCCCTTTTCACATTCGTTAACAAGAAGGGAGAAGGTTCCGCGCTCAGCGCGTCTACATGCAGCATACCCGACCGGTGCTCCACTGTATAACAAAATTCCTCCAACAACAAAGCCCATCGGACTTACGCACACAGATATCTTTTTTGCTCATCGTAAGCGCAAACGCACGATAGTCAGTTATAATTTTAAAATCTATACCGAGTAAATAGGTGCGGAATCGCTTAAATGCTTTAATAATTGCGAGGACTTCCAAGTCATAGCTTGAATATTTCTCCTCCGCTAATGTAGTTTTACCGCTCGCGTAGTAAATAGGATGTAACAACTAACCTCGCTATTTTGCTGTAAGAGAATTTCCCCGTAACCATATTTTAACGCATCTGTATGTAATTCGGTCTCGACGCCTACGCGGTATAAACTTAACACCGGATGATCACATAAAAAAATCTTTAGTTATCTAAATGCATTTCTCTCCGCCGCTTCGAAACGAAAACTAGCTTGCGCCCTCAAAAGATCGGACAACAGCCGCGCAATCGCCGCGTATCTTGGAACGAATTTACGAAAATACCCCGTCCTAAAAACTCTTGTATCTGACGAATGGTTTTGGGTATAGGGAAATATCTTACAGCTTCGGTCTTACATTCAGATGGTCGGACGCAACCACCGCCTATCACATGTCCAAGAAATTCGACCTTTCCCTTCAAGAAGCAATATTTGTGCCAATTTATCAACAAGCCAACGCGATTAGCAGTATAGATTACCCTCGTAAGATTTCTTAGATCATCATCAAAATCGTTAGAGAACATAATCAAATCATCCATGTAAATTAACGTTATATCTCGTCCATTACTAAATTCCTAAAGATCGCGTTAACATACCTCTGGAAAACGGAGGGCGAATTGCAGAGACTGAAAGATACCCTCAAAAATTAGTAGTGGCCATCAGGAACGATGAACGCGGTATATTTCACGCTTGCCTCATCCACTCGTACATGAAAAAACCGTTCTTCAAATCAATGTAAACTTTAGCGCTCTGTAATCTATCGAGCTGATCTTCAATCAGCGGCAAAGGATACCGGTCTTTTATTATCTTTTTATTTAATAGTCTATAGTCTACACAAAGTCGATACGAGCCATCCCTGGACAGTTGGGCTAACATAGTCAGAGGAGGAAGGGCGAATAATCCCTTGCCTTTCTCACTTTTTGATTTGATTGTTAACAATATTCTTTTCGAATGGTGATAAACGCCTCGCACGCTGACACACGGATTCGTCTTTCACAATAATAGTCATTTTTATATACGTCTCACGCGCTTGATTCGGCCTGTAATCTTTAATTAACATTGCAACGGCGCGTCTACATTTAGGATCTTGGATACGTTCTACATCTATCTCATTCAGCCCGTATATACCTTCTACGTCAATCTGAAATATCTCAAACACATCATCATCGTCGATTGTTTGTTCAGAAATCGGCTTAATCGTCACTATGCCTCGTCTAACATTAGTTTCCAACGTATCTAGAAAATCTGTACTAATTAGCAACTTGTGTCGCGACACTGCACCCGAAACGACTTTAATGAGAATTAAAAAAGAATGTCCGTCAACAGTAAGCCTCGCGTGAAACTCTCCTAAAGCAATTATTTCGCCAGATCCCACGTTTTTCGCCCGAAAAACGAACTTTAGTTGTTTGGGATAGAGATGACCCTATCTCTACATACTGATCCGCGCGCATAAGAGAGATATTGCTGCCTGTGTCTACATATAAGCGCTTCGACTTTTATTTTGTTTATTAGAACGTCCTTGGTATACTTCTTGCGCGAAGAGAGCGTTACGGCACAAGAGTTCCCGGTTACAACGGTCTTCTTATGACATTTCAAGACTACGTGCCCGAATTCTTCGCACTCAAAACATTTCGTATCCAAGGTTCGCGATAGGCAACTAGCACCAAGGTGATCTTGCGCGCCACAATTAAAACATCGCTTAATATTTGGCATTATTTTTTTTCTGTCCCTGTAACCGTTGTTGTTATTTGTCTTCTCACTGTCCGTCGTTCTACCCTCTCGCTCCATCGTCATTGATTTACCCGCTCGTCTGTCTGCTCGATTTAAATTCGTATGACAATCGCGTAATGTTATGGTTCCGAATGCCTTTAATAACGATTCTGTTTCAGCAAATCGTTGTATACGTGCCTAATTGCGCAATACATTGTCCGATATACCATCTATAATATAATCTCATCGGTTTCGACCGGCATATGATTCTCCACTTTCTTGTGAACGTATTCGTGGAGTCTCGTTTCTCCAAACACGCGCTTCGAATTTTTACGCCTTACTATTCTACTCTATCGGTGGCAAAACATCGCTTTTATCTCGTTAAGTAGAGCGTTAAAATTCATGCCGATAAATTCGGGCTTCGAATGAAACCATTCAAGAGCCTTTTTTTTCAACCTCATCCCGATTATGATTTTAGCCTGGTCATCTCCCAGCTGATATGTCATTTTTAGGAGTTTTATTTATTTCTCCCAAGTATCAAAGTCGCTAGAAATACCGTCGAAATCCGCTAACAAATCTGCGATCGCCGTCAAATTCAATCGCGAATACGCCGCGCCACCGCCGCCATCCGCAGCTACTCCTCTTCGCTGTCCACCCTGGCCGTCCCGCTCCCGCAACAAAGCGATTTCATATCGGGCAAGCTCGAGTTCGCGTATAGTGAGCTCCTTCTCACATCGACATACCTCGAATTCCCGCAGATGCATATTCTCATAACGACGATCGTCCTCATCGAGACAACCACCACTAACCTCCTCCCGAGGGCACTCCTCCAAGCACTCACCCAGCGGGTCTACGTCTATCAAACGGGCAACGAGCTCAGCTTTGCTTCCCGTAGACAACTTACGAGATTTTAACAGCTTCTTGAGCCTAACTACAGTGAGAATATTAGGATGCAGCGCCATGGCCGTCGCCGCAAAACACCTGTCGCCGGTACGCGTTACAGCCTCCTCGTCGTCAGTTCACTGCACGCGCAATCGTCGTCCACCTACGACTCCATTGCTTCTTCGTAAATACAAGCAATGTCCCACTCCTCCACTCGCATCTTCAGTGTCCTTGCAATTTCTCAAAATATCTTATTCAAAGTTTCTTTTCGAAAAAGGCGGTATCGTCTTTTTTCGTAGGTCGTTCCCAAACGAATTCTCTCTCCGTTCCGATCCCGGATGAGCCCCCAAAATATTTGTGCAAATAAGATTGTGATAGGAGATAATTCCACAAATTGTCAATGTTAACTAAACTTTAAAGTAATTATCGGGTATAGGGGAGTCAACTCCAATGACCTTGATCTTCACATATATTGTCAAGATCACTATCCATTCAAAAGGTTTTAGCCGTCGCTCATTGTTTATTAAAAAGTTATTAACAAAAGAAGTTTCGGTAATTATAGACTATAGAAGAGTCAGCTCCAATGACCTTGACCTTGACATATATTGTAGAGGTCACCCTCCTGAGTAACTCTCAGAAGGTTTTAGCCGTCACTCGTTGTTCGTTAAAAAGTTATTAACAAAAGAAGTTGCACAAAATGAGTATAATTTTTTAACACTGTATATACAAAAACGATACTGTGTACTATTAACGAGCAATATCGAATAATAACTGCAATATCGAATGACTAGCGGGGGGCTGCGCCCCCCGCACCCCCCCCTCAAAACTAACCTAACCTATCGTCACATTAACACAAAAGTTGAACACTTTAATAAACAATGACTAACGGTTAATGTGACGATAGGTAGGTTAGGTTAGTTTTGAGGGGGGGGTGCGGGGAGCGCAACCCCCCGCTAGTCGTTCGATATTGTAGTTATTATTCGATATTGCTCGTTAACGATACACAGTATCGTTTTTGTATATACAGTGTCCAAAAATTATACTCATTTTATGCAACTTCTTTTGTTAATAACTTTTTAACGAACAACGAACGACAGCTAAAACCTTTTGAAAGTTACTCAGGAGGATGACCTCTGCAATATATGTCAAGGTCAAGGTTATTGGAGCTGACTCCCCTATATCCGATAATTACCAAATTTAATATATATATGGGCTTATCGGAACAATGAGCAGAAGAACAGTTTCGCACAATAAATTCGTTGGCTTTTCCCGTTTACTTCTTGTTTCTTGTTTACTTCTTCAGCGATTTTGTCTCTGTGTGTCGCCTCGTCATCTCGGTTTATATCTCGATTGTCACGAACGTGATCGTCAATACAAACAATAATACCGGAGTTATACATTTCGAAACGCTTATACAAAATCTTTTTCCTACAGTAATAGAATAAACAATTTTAAGACAAATATGAGTGTTTCTATCAGAACCTAGATCTCTTCGGAAAAATTTTAAGAAATTTCTGTGCGGATCTGCTCTATTTCGGTTGAATACGCATACTCTGTAAAAAACTATTGAGAAACTACATGCATCACAAATACTCACGATTTTTATTTTTCGAATGATAACGCGTCACGTAAAAACTCAAAGCTATCGGCGACAGTACAACACAATGCTGTTGCCAATTCACGCTGGAGTAAAAACTTTTTCGATTGACTCTCGACGAAAATACACGCTTAAAAGATACAGATCGAACACAGCGACGCAAATGCGATTGCAACAGCCTTCTGCATATTTGATTGGACAGAAACGCTTCGTTACGCTAATACCATCAATATCGGCGTTTAGCGCTATGCGAAACTGTCAATGTGGGACGGGACTAAAATGCATGCCATCGATCACGCTACGTTATTACATTATTATTAAACGCGATGTATCATTTATTAAAAATAGTCTCCAAAATATATCTATACGTGCATTCGTCGGCGTTGGAACGTTTTTATCGAACTTAGCGAGTAACAGAGATACACTACGTATGTGGGACGCGTGTATGAGGGAAGTTCTATTCGTGGTATCTCTCGCGTTTCGCTTTGAAGGGATGTAATCAGGTCCGACATGTTCAGAAGTCTACTTGTACGTGCCTACGCAAGCTTGTGAAGGAAATCTTTGTACTTAAGATACGCAAACCGGATGCACCGCAACCGCCTCTTCCGTGTTCTTCCTTCGTTTACTTAGCTGCGCTCTGCGAGACGTCGAAGTAGCATTATGGAGAAACAAACGGAATATTTTTCTTAATTCTATAGATTTTCCAAGTTTTTTAGGGAAATATCGAAATCGCAATCTTAGGTCCCAATTAAAAAATTTAAGGTAATCTTCGTCTGATCTTGGCGATCTAACCGAAGGTTAAACTGATAAAGGGAATAAATAGATATTTTTAAGCCCTACAACTTTTGTCTCAAATATTTTTTTTCTACAACTATATTTCTATAAATATTTTTGCACACCCTGTACATATACTGAGTAGCTTCAGATAAGTGACTCGAGATTCTGCGACTCAAAATAACAAAAAAGGAATAAATAAATAACGCAAGGAAACATAAGAGTAAATGTAAAAAGTTACGTCCGGAAGTTTTAACGTCCGGGAATTTCACGTTTTTTCCCATTTTTTTAATTTCCCATGTTTTCCCCACTAGTATCCTAATTTTTATGGTCATTTTCGAATTCTACGATTTAAAATACATTACAAATAAGAATATATAACATTTTCTCGTTTGAATAACAGCTTACAAACCACTAATTTTGCATATCCTTTTTTGGATGTTGATTCTTCAGCTATAAATCACGATTAATGTAATATATATATATATATATATATATATATATATATATATATATATATATATATATATATCACATATATATATTTTAGCATATATGTGGATTACACGCAAATATAAAGATAAGTAATAGATTTCATTATTCCCACATTCTGCTTGTGATATTTATTTCCTTCTGCAAAACACAAATATGACAGATATTAAATTTCCTACATAACAATTAATATTATATTACAAACATAATTTATATATTTTTTGTAATGAAATCTATTACTTATATTTATAAGTGTAATCCACGATGCTCGGTCACGGCGAGTCCTGCGGAACACTTCCCACACGAACGTCGTGTTTACTTTTATGACACTACGTATATGTCATTTCTCTCCTATCGTGGTTAGTCACTGCGCAGGCATGCCCCGCAGACGGAGCAATGACTTTCCTTCTTTTCAAGTCGGAATGTGTTCCTAAATTTGCTAAAAACGACCCACTAATCTTTAAGTACGCGACTCTATACTTTAAATAGTACTAAAAAAATCATATATCCCGAAAGCTAAAAAAAATGGGGTTAAACACGCAAATACGTGTAGTAGGATGTTGTTCGCATATTGCGACCGTTGTATGGTATTTTAGTTGTGCCAGACATCAAGAAATAATACCTTTGCCTGCTAATTATTTAAATAATTATTTTACCGAAGATGCTTGATATGACATTGTGTGAGTGATTCAGACTTATACCTTAGTGATGAGAACGATGGGCAATTTATTTATTTAATGTCTGAAATATAATTCATTACCAGAACACATTATTAACACATTACCAGAAAGTCTCTTGTTCTGCTAATTTAAAATATACTCGACTATATAAAACCCAAATCTTATATTCCACTCGTAGTAAAAAAAT